GGCAGCTATTTTAGATGTAGTCTAAGTCTTTGGATTATAATGCTTTACGTCCAACAAATGCGACTGGGAATGGGAGAAAATATGATGATTTTAAATGTCCACCGAAAACAATCTGGCCCTGCCATCCTCATAACTATTTTAAAAAGCTAACAATAATCCCTGTGCAAAAAGAGAAACACATCCCAAGGAAGCTGAAAAGAACAAACACTGCATTTTACTCATGTATCGCACAACGAAACGGCATAAATAAAAGGTAAAGGTATATGGGCTATCATGATGCCATTGCACAACCTCATGAAACACAACCCTAAGATTTTGATGAAAGAGGGCACAAGAGAGTTTTTAAAGTGGTTAGGTTCACATTTGAGGGCCCCGCTGGAAGGTGAGAGCTCATACTCAGATTGGAGGACATTAGAGGGGTCAGACAATATTCCTTCCATATCTGAATATGCTCTCTAATGATGCTGAGGTTTTATCCGGATTAAAAGTGTATGAAGTACCGTAAATACTTTTTTAAACATTAAAAGTTTTAAACGTAATCATTTCTGATGTCAGGATTTCCAAACAGGTGAAACTGTCAGCTTAATACTTTGTGTATTAACTTTTTATGCCCCAAACAAACTGATAACAAGAAAACTGAAATCCTCAAGTCATGGGGGGTTGTGGGTACATTCAGTCTTCTAGGAATTTGAAGTTTCCTTTCTAAAGAACCGACGACCTCGTGGTTGACGTTTGAATAGAAAGCAAAAGTCTTTCCATCAATCAATTTTTTTCGTGTGTGTGTGTATCAGTGTGTGTAATGGAAGATGTGAGTCAGATAAACTCTTGACTACATTTCAAATGTGATTACGAAGGCACTTTGACTCAGCAATGGAAAACTTATCTCTTTCATGGTGTTTCATAAGAGGTGTTGCTGCTGGTTTTGCAGAAAAAATGATGGACAAACCACAAACTTATAAGCAATACTTTTGCAGCTTTTTTACTTTCAAGAGTAAAGTTTACTCTTAAATATTTAAAAAGCAGGTCGCAGAAGTAAGCTGTCTTAAATGAATGTTTCTCTATTTTCACTGTCACACATGTTGCACTTGAAAAGTGTAAAACAGTATGTTTCATCTCTTCTATATCATAAACATGTTTTTCAGGCTTTAAACGAGGAGCCGATCCAGGGATGCCTGAACCCACCGTTTTAAGGTGAGGACTGATTTGGTTTGAGACTTAATCATATTTGTGATTTCAGAAGAGTCAGCAAAGAATCGGTGAGAAATGAGACATCAGATTCACACCTCAACACTACAAAGACGTACTTCCTGTAGTTGTGGATTATTTGGGTTAACTGTCAGATAGGTTTACAGTTTTTTTTTTATAAAACCTGTTTTGGTTTGGCTGTGGGAAAATGTAGAAATGTTTGTGCGTTACTTTTAAAGCTAAGGTGTCCGCCAAGCAGTGTGAGAAGCTTCACAATCTTAACATGGTCTCCTCTCAAGTAAAGGCTGAAAAAAGGAAAAAATCTACATAGGGTGTGTACTTGGGGTGGCATTAGTGTTTGAGTTGGGGTTTGTTTACATTCCCTGAATAATGTGGTTGTGCTGGCTGACCGCTGCTGTGGTTGATGGCCAAGTTTATCCATCAGTCCTACTGCTGGTTTGGAGCTAACTGAGATCTCCAGTGGGTAATAATAAAATCCTCATACAAATATCGTTACAAGTATTTCAGGTGTTTCAAAATATAACAATGAGAATGAGCTTTGCAGTGATAACACATTAGCTTCATGGATTTAACCTGAACCTTTATTTCCTGTCTTTCAGTTTGCTTTGGGGCTGAGGAGCATCTCCATCCAACCAGTCCATCCCTCATGAAGATTATGTGACCCACAGGTGATTGGGTACCCAAGAAATGGACATTTTTTCACTTTCCTCTCCACAAATCACCCTGCGGGGTTTTGTTTTGCTGCTTTCACTCATACAGCCATATCAACAACACATATTTGGAGAGTCTGAATAAGTGAAACTGACCAGCTGGAAGAGACTCTATCCTTGAAATCAGTAATCTAGACTGGACTACCCATTTTCTCTTTTGTGTTTGTTTGGGGGAATGTTTGACAGCAGTGTTTGGATAAACCATTCATTCCATGTTTTTCTTCTTTTTATTTGTTATTTAAAATATTTGAAATAAACCCACAGAGAAATACCAGCCTCTGTCTCGGACTCTGTTTGCCATGATGATGCACAGCAACCAAGCTGCATCTTCTCAGTCATAGTTTTATGGGAAAATGTGAATGTGTTATTGAAAAAACATGAGAAAATCATATGTTTTTACCTCCTTAAAAGTTTTTGTTTTTAAAGGAAATTAAACTTGATTTCCTGAAAGATCACATAATTCATAAATGTCTTAGAGTGAATACAGTTTGAGTCATGTTTTCCAGACGTTTCCACAAGCTCTTACAGATTTAATGACAATGCGAATGACATGAGATGTGTGTGGGAGGTGTGTGAAAGAAGAACTTTACTTGCATGATCATTTTCAAATAATTTATTCATTTTTTATGTGCTCGGATCATTACAAAAAGATCATGGAATTAGAATAAAATAAACGGCAAATTCACTTAAATAATGACAAACGTAAATGAATAGCAGCTCAGTCTTTTCAGTGTAAAAATCACTGTTTACAGGAATGATCACACGATAATCTCTTCAGATTTTTTTTACAATGTATTAAAATGGTCAAAATTCATAAATACAATTTTCATATTTAAATAACTTAATTGTAAAAGAAAAAGAAAAACGCATATAGTGCAGAAAAGTCACAGTCTTGGATTCTACTCTGACCAATAAATAACACTTTTCGGTAAATATAAATAGGTTAAATAAATTGTGTAACACTGGGTAATTCCAGCCCTGAGGCCTTGACAGTGTCAGAAACAGCACCAACACTAAGCGGGCTGTTCTCCTTTAAAACAAACAAACTTAAGCGTTAGAACAACGTAATTTCTCTGAGGTATTCCACCATAACCGGCTCCTCATTTTTACATCGTTGAATTGAGGCTGATGGGTGTCTTGCTCTGTCCAGCCTTTTCCTTTTTTTTGATCGCCCTTTTGCCTTTGAGAAGGAAGTTGCGGAGCTGGAGCAGGATGCTGTGTGCCGTCATCTTTCTTTGGAAAGCATAGGGGCTGCTGATTTCCTTCAAAAGCTGCTCCTCTTGGCTGCTGGTCATCTCTGTGACACGTTCAGGGTGCCTCATCTGTGAAACACATGTCAGAAACATGATCACTTGACTTGTTAAGCTCCCAGCAGACATGTTGAACTCATGAGGGGCGCATAGAGCATGTGCAATACACCTGATTGTTTGCAAAGCAGGTGAAAATATGACTTACTGTGGTTAATTCAAAAGGTATTTGATTCAAAAATTAATGTTCAGTGAAGCACCGAAACAGGAATGTGAATCAGTGAAGTAACTTGAATATTAAAAAGCCTGGAGGCTGGAAAAGATTTCTGTTTTCATCGTTGTTTGAATATTTATTTCAACATAAAGCCGACACACTCAGTGATTCTCTCATCCTTGTCACTTGTAGTTTTAAAGCTCTTGTGAGGACTTTTTCAATATAATATTCATAGTAATACCTTTTTATGGTATTCAAAAGCAAACAAGACTCTTAGTGACGACACTGACTGTTTTACACAAATTTTACTGCCTGAAACCTGCTGGAGAGGGTAGGTGTCAGCCTTAAAGAGGCAGCCCTGTACGTATATTTTTCACTAGTGATTTTTAACAATGAACGGTACATTTTGTTGTTAAGGTTGAGATTTTTGTCCTACTGAAATCTATAAATAAAAAGCTAAGCAAAGACTGCTTTGTTTACAAGTGGTGCCAACATTGACACAAACAGAACATGACTTACAGGAGCTTTAAATTTCTCTAGATTTCATTTTGATTAGCTCGCACTTTCAAAAGACTGTTAATCCTCCTCATGCCGGTACATGAGTCACCTTTTTACCGTCTCTCTTGGAAAGACCTAACAGTTCAACTACGTTTTCTGCTTTTTCTGAGCGAACTTTACAGTCTGACAGCACTCAGGTACCTGAGCACACAGCATTTCTTATTAGATTACTTAATCAATGCCCAGAACAATCAACAAAATACTGAGTCACTATAATAATTGATCACTACAGCTGTAGTTCAGTGAGTAGTTCTTTGTAGTAAAGACAAGTACTCGTATCTTAGACTCACGTTGTCTCTGATGAGGCTGATCAGCTGGCCGCAATGGAGTCTGGCTTCAGAGATTTTGAGGTTGCTGGGATACTCCCTCTCAACATGCTTGAGGAGAACTTTGTACATAAACAGACCCTCGGCCAATCTCTGGAGACATGCTTCCTGTAGAGAGGGCAGAAAATCAGCATCAGCGCCTCAAACAAACTCCAGTCATGAATCCTAAAGGCAATCAAAGCAATAGAAGAGAGGACGTACCTTGCTTAAGTTGGAGTAGGTGCAGCTTTCTGGGAGTGAGGAGATGTTGTAGTCCTCCAGTATGTGATAACTCACCTGGTTTCCAAATTCAGCTTCAAACTAAAAGAGGGAATTATAAAGAGAGTCAGGAGAGGAGTTTTCTTTAAGCGTGCTTGAAACATCTAGCTGGATTCCTTCAAGATAAAGTCTCACCTCTTTTTGGAGATTGTTGGTCACACTGAGGATCAGTTCCCAGATCCCAGAGTCACTCAGAAGGTTTGAGGTCAGCTCCCCTTCCTCACCTGAGGGGTCACCTGCCAGGTTCTCAAGAGTTGCAACTTTGATCGGAGATCCCAGAGCAACTTGCAGCAGAGTGGCCATGAGCAGGTAGCTGTCTGTAAGGAAAAGCAAGTCTGAATGAATGAACGAAAAGAGGAAGTGAAGCAGGAAACATGCGCAGCCCGGGCTGCAAATAACTCACTGAGTGTGGAGGGCATGCTGCGCTGCTGGGAAAGCCTTTGACGAGTTTCGGTGATGCTGAGGGCTGTCTGTGAGGGCAGGAAGGAGTTGCCCTGTCTTTGCAAAACACCATCCTTTTATATCCTTCAGCCTGGATTTCCCAACACCTCACAGAAGACGACACGGAATCAAAAGTTTGCGGGGGTGGAGGCCAGGAGTGGTGATGTTTTCGCCCTCTGGCACTGGATACCTGATAAAGTTGTGTGAAATTGAAACTAGTAAGGGGAAAATATCAAGCCCATTACTTATTGATGGTGATTTAGATTAGGACAAGAAAAAGCATCCATCTGCATAATTAGCAGTAACAGCAGGAAATCGACGCACAAACTGATCAGTTTTTTTCTCTCTTGTGGTATTGAAAAAATGAACTGCTCCGTTATCATTTTAATTACTGGAACATTCAAAGCCATTTTAGTTTTTTGTTGAACACACACACACACACGCACGCACACACACACACACACACACACACACACACACACACACACACACAAATCCCCACAGTGGTCCAGTTTCAGTCAATTTAAAAGGAAAATCCACTCAAAACTGTGTTTAGATGAAAACAGAGGCATGAATTTAAGGTTCTTTTATTAGTTTTTAGATGTATTAATGGTCTTGGCCCCTCCTATTTATCTGATTTACTTTTACCATATCAACCCTCGCGGACCATGAGGTCCTCCGGCACAGGCCTTTTAACCTTACCCAAAGTCAAAACAAAAACACACGGAGAGGCGGCGTTCAGTTTTTATGGTCCCCAGTTGTGGAACAGTCTGCCGTAGAGCCTCAGGGCCGCAGAGACTGTTGATGTTTTCAAGAAGAGGCTCAAGCATCGCTTTTTTAACCAGGCTTTTTAAAAATTGTCATTTTAGATTTCTGTTATTGTAAATGTTCAGTTTAATCAAAGTTCTTAATGTTTATTTTATTTATTATCTATGTTCTTAGTCTTTTTCTTAATTTCCTGTCAGAGGTTTTTACTTCTTTTACCCCTTTTACTTATTTGCTCATTTAATATTATTATTTTCTTTTTTTTAGTCCATCAGGTTTTACTCTTTTCACCATTTTTATCTCTATTTTTATCTCCGGTGTTTCCTAAAGGTAGCTCTTTCCTCATGTAATGTCTCAGTGTCAGGCCATGTCTCTTTAACAATATAACTTAAATTCTCACAATGTGTGCGGTTGTGTGTGTGGATGTGTGGGTGAGTGAGGGTGAGTGTGTGTCTTTGTGTGCGTGTGGGTCCATGGGTGTGTGTGCGGGTGGAAGAGTTGGGTCTTTGTCATTATTGTTGTTTTTAGCCTCTGTGAGGCACTTTGACTTGCATTTTCTTTTGTATGAAAAGTGCCATATAAATAAAGTTGAATTGAATTGAACTGAATTGAATTGAATTGAATTGAATTGAATTGAATGAATAATATCGGGTGGCAGAATTAACAGGAAAGATAATGACGTTTTCAACTACTACCTGACGTCACGACTTTTCAGAATAATTAGATAAAAGTTTCCTCCCCAATATTAGCAAATCTGTCTTGAGTCATGTACAGTGTTCTTCAGAGTTATTTATGAAATTTATCAAAGGAGTATGTTTCAACTATGGACTGTGTGTTCTTTGGCTGGCTCATTTTCACTGATAGGTGGGTGAGGACCATGGACTGTTAGATGCAGCACCTGGTATTGAACTCCAACTTCCCCATAGAGAAACAATCCACCCCTCCACGGAGCCACGGCTGCCCAGAGATAACAGGATCATCACTGACTGGTACCACATTTACTGACACCACATCGACACTCCCCTTTGGAGCTCTAATATAAATACAGTATGACTTATGGTGTAGCCCTCTATAGACAGTAATATTCATACATGGTGATTTTGTGCACAAAAGTAGAATTAAAAGTCTGGTATCTTTGATGATAATCAACATAACTTTGGCTAATAGGTATATTTTGGCATATACGTACTTGCTAATATTTGCTCATATATTTACTTCCACAAATCATTTTAGCGGATGGAAACTGGTTTATTTCCTAAATCTATACTAGGAATAAATCCTTCTAACTCTTAAAATAACTGATTTAGTCTCTGTCACAGCAGGTGGTGTCCCTGTCCTCGTCTTCGGGCACTCCTGTGTCTATTTCTCTTTATTGAGATCTTATTTTTGTTCAGGGGACACGGCTCTGGAAGGACTTTGGTTTCAAAGACTTCCTCCTCAGAGTTACAGTGGCCTAATTTTTTTTTACAGTATAAATGCTGTACATATTGATTTGGTCTAAATTATTCTGTAGACTGAGGCTGTGATGTTGCTCCAGTGTACACCTTAAAAGCTTATTTAAAAAATGACCGTATAGAAACCTTAAAACACATCAACACACACAACATTTTTTTGATGCTTCTTTTGATTGCATAATTTCATCTTAATAAATAACAGTATCATCTTCGTGCAATATGAGACATTTTTACATTGAGCTGTCCTCTGTGATCTGTGACGGAATATTAAATCTTAAAAAAACTTGGGACACCACAGGACACAGGTCTAATTCCACTGACATTCCCATGTACATGGATTTATATTATTTCACACTCACAGCAGGAAAACCAAAGACAGTGTTTCAAGGCTGCATATTTTAAATAGAATATTAACCCTAAAGTCTTTGTCAAACAATTAATTTTAATTCATTAGGCTAGTAATGTTAAGCTTTAATGAATGGCAATGTCAGTCAGTTGGTTGGTCGATATCAAATGGATAGCTTTCACTTTTTTAAGGATGTTTGTTGTCCTGGGAGGATGAAGCATAAAAACTATGATTATTTTTGTTACTTTTACTTTAACACCCTCAGATGAAAAATGTTGAATCCTCTTTGTCATGATTATTATGGCATTTTCGTCTGGGACAGTTGGGAGTATGCTGGAAGTGGTATTGTCAAAGTTTTATACTCGGCTGCTTGTTAAGGGAACCCCAGACAATCAGAGTGCTTAGAAACCTTTGTGCACCCCCATACTGACCTCCATTGTATTTTGAGTACATTTTAATGGGATTTTATGCATTACACTGGTTTTAAGCTGTCAATTGTACTGTCAGTTGTTCACACTGTACTGCGTGAACTCTCCATCAATCGGTTACAATTTATTATTGGCTATGACCTTATGTTTTAAAGCTATAACCAATGGACTTCAGTATCAGAAGCGTGTCCTCTTTAACACTCTTTAAGACGTCTTTGCAATCCATCCAAAAACCTCAGCCTCTAAAAGTCTGGAGATTCCCACTAATTACTGACATCTTCCTGAGCATAGGTGGCAGAAATGTGTCTTATCTCCTTCCTGTGTCAATCAGACTTATGACGTGTTGTTACAGGTAAAGTTAGGTATGTTGTAGAGACCTGCAACTTTTTCTTCTGACACGTATACGTACAGCAACTGGATTAACTTAAAGTCCAATGTGAACTATGGTACCGTGGAAGGTCAACTGCATAAAAATGTCATGGCTGTAAGGACAAGTAGAGCAAAATGAAGAGTGTTAACATCTGCTTATGGTATTACTGTACACTTGTTTTTAGCGCAATATCAACATTCATTTGAAAAAAGACAGTATATGTCAAAATCTGGACACACGCATGTGTCTTCACAAATGACGTTAAATTTCTTTCGCAACTAATTGCTTACTGAGGTTGCTAGAAAGCTTACAATAAATGCTGATTAATGCAAGTACACACACCTCTCTACAATGAGTTTATATGTATATCTGTTTAATAAAGGTTTTAAAGATCCACATGATCTTAAAACAAACTAAAAATGTGTGATTTGGTACTGTGATGGTAAAATTGTCTGTTTAATTTCCTTGATTCACATGAGATTGTGCTGAGCATGTGTAATATTTTTTTTGTCGTCGTCGTGATAGATATGGCTTATCTGCATTCTGTGGAAATCAGAGGGGATATGACTCAAACCCTGTCTAAACAGCACATGACCTGTGAATTCAATATTATTTTTTTTCTTTTACCTTGAAGCATTGCTTGAGTTTGTTGGAAAATGAAAGAGAAAGAGGCTTTTGTTGTAAATGCTCCATCCAGATAAAAACACTTTTTTTAACCATCTTCATCTTTGTTCACATGCTTTGCATGCAATTGTCTCTTTCATATAAAATCTACAAAATTTAATTAAAAGCTTTACGACTTAAACCCTGCATTTCTTTGCAATCGGATATCATTTTCTGTTTTTCCCTGTTTCTATTTTTGATATGAAACTTTCCCTCTGTTAATTCAGATTACTCATGGGGAACCAAACCACAGAACTCCCAAGTCTTTGCTTTGCTTTCAAAGCTTTAACCTGTGCAGCACTGAAGATGTTGTAAGAATGGGGACTTGAGTACGAGGGGGTGTCCTCGTACTTTTAGTGGTCAATTCTGAGAATTTAAGAATAGCTCCTCAGACGACCTGTGGACTAAAAGAAGGTGTACAGAAAGACAAACTGAGGACATGTCTTCAGTTTGCCCTGTGGGTGTGCGAGTTGTAACCACTTTTTGAATTCTTTATTCTCAGTCAGAATAATTCACTCTGGAAGAAAGTTTGTGGAGCTTGAAATATTTGGTCTGACTCTCATTTCTGCTTTTTATTTATGCCTCTGAATTAATCCATTTTTTTTCTTTCTAAACCATTTCAATAAAACTGATTTAAATGCTTATTTTAGATACCACATTTATTCTTTCTATAATGTCAGAGCGGCTGAAAGGGGAATTTCTTTCAAAGGCTGCTGTGAGGGTTTTTTGAAGCTCTAATCATTTGCTCTGAACAGGGGAAAGTTGTATCAAACAACAACTTCATCCGTTACTTTCTGATGATGAAATGTTCTCTGTAAGTATTTTTTTCTCCTGCTCTATTTTATCATAAGTATCATTATCAATATTATTTGGTTATTATTTTATTATCATTATTAATATTGTCTTTTTATAATTACTATCCTGTTAACCCCCCTTTTTTATTGCATTTTATTTTCTCACCTATTCTATGTTTTGTGCCTTCAGTTCTGAGGCCTTGTTTTAACTGAGCTTTGT